GATGATAAACGTAGGGGACTTTGTAAAAGGAGTTCCGAAAGCTGGTAGATACAAACCGACATTGATTCATATGAACTCTCTTTCGAATAAATACAATCCGAGCTGGGATTCACTACGTAGCTGGGTCTTCGATGAATTCTATCTTCGCAATTCAGGAGGACGTGGCAGCAGATCAACCAAAGGTGGAGGATCATGGACCATGTGTAGAGACATGTTTGGAAAAAACATGGTAAAAGTTGACTGTCTGCAGCAACAAAATGAAAACGATTGCAGTGTGTACACATGCATCAACGCAGAACGTCTCATCAAACACTTCAGCGACCGACCACTTGTCGACGAAATAAGCACGAACGAGGTAATGGTGGTTATGGACACACTGAAAAGAGAAGAAAACCGGACAAAGCAAAAGCGTCAGGAGATGGTAGAATACACTGCGAGATATGTCGCAAGCAAGAACAGGATTGAGGACGCGAAGATTGATAGCATTATCAAATCGTTAATGACACTGAAGGGCAAAGACGATGACACTTAGCCATAATGTGGCCATGGACAGACGTTTCATGACAGAGCGCATGTGACATGCTCGGAACATTGACACCATTTCATTGTGTTTCCTCGGTTGCAGGGTTGAGTGGAGAGAGAGTTCGATATCGTTATAAAGTCGTTCGTCATCGAAGGACCGTGGGTAGTGTAGAAATGGCAACGAGGGCAAAATACGACGACATCTGCAAAAAGAGAGGTGAGCAAAGAAGCAACTCAACTCGGTTCAATGAAGAAGTCGACGTGCGTCGGGCAAGAGGAGCGAGACACATGAACAATGTAAAGGTGGATCGTGCCAAAGAAGATGTGAAAAGCACAAGAGCTGATCTTCGGCAACGGTTCAGGGAGGAGTTCAAGGAGAAAGGCAAAGGTGGGATCGACGGGATGTCTTCAACGCCGAGATGGAATATGGAACAAAGGAGGGAGGAGGGAACAACGATGCTCGCCGCACCACGAAAGGCAAAGAAATTGTGTCTGGAGGAGGAGAAGGAGGATGTCATCATTGGCAACCCACACAGAATTCAATCCGCGCAACGCAGGGAGAGAACAACCCTTGGGGGAGGAGGTGGAAGACGTGTGGAAAACAAATGCACAAGAGCAGGAGACAAAGGTTCACCGAGGAACAGAGAGGCTAAATATGACAAGATCAGTTTCAGAGAAAGGGAACTGAAAACACACCCCTATCAGTCACGTAGACAAGAACACGAAGATTACCCTGCATCGCAGGAGGTGGAGGAAAGTACGGATAGAGAAGACGAGCATTCGGAACACACACATTCACAAGCAAGTCCGGCTCAGGGTCGACATAATGACTATGAGGAAGGCGATTCTGATGAAGGAGGAAACAAAGTCACAGGGGAAGATATGGATGACGCAGATGAGCAGGATTGTGACAACTCCAACGAAACGACGAAGCTGCGCGAAGAGAAAACAGGTAAATGTCATTGCATGAAAGGCATTCGCAGCATAGCAAATAGTGTTCTTCCTTTGCATAACCAATCCAGTGGGTATGTCATACGCAAAAAAAAAGACCAAAAAACTAGAATACAATCATGAATGTTCCTTGTCCTTTCATGTTCTCTTTTACATTCTCTAACTGCGATGTAAAAAACTTCGTTTTTTTCAATGGGCGCAGGAAAAGCGGACAGGAAGGGACGAAGTCGCTTTCACAACAGGAACTCAAACCGGAATCAGAATGTCGCAGATCACCAGGACGAGATGAGGCTGACGAAAAAGATGAAGGACAAGATGATGCGGTCAGTTTTTAAGGCATACGCTTTTAAGTCTGCTCGTGACTCGACATTCTACCCACAGGATGAACATTTTCTCAAGTCGTTATATACGATGGCAGAAAATATAAGAGAATGGGCATCCACAGGCTTAAGAACATATGTGGAGTCGTGCGGCGTACGCCAGGTCCTGATTGAATGTAACAGGATCATGACGACCGTTAGAGGGGAAATATCATGGAGGTTAAAACACGGGTTTTGGGCTGAGAAGGGATACCCTTTAGTGACTTCTAAACAAAAAGACAAACAACAAGAACAATTCGTGGAGGCGGAAGGCCAACGAGCCATGGGGTGATCCGGCGTTCGAAGTGTGCTTGGCAAGGGTGTTCTTTCACACGAGGAAAGGTCACGGAACTGGTGTGTCATTGCAACAACTTGCATTCGCTGAGATAGTAATTAAAAATGAGGTGTTCCAATGTTCTAAAGAAACTAGAGTGGAAGAAAAAACCGCGGAGTTGACAGCAATTAAAAGAGATATAATTGCATCCGTTGAGGCGCGAGACACATTCGTATCCTTCAACATATTCAACCTTAATCGATCAACGGATGTGGCTGCTAAAGCACTCATGTTGTTCAGAGCAGGGTTGCCGGCAGTGCAGCAGGAAGACGTTCGTGCAAGATTGTTCACTGATGCTGACTACACGTTTCAACACAAGGCTGCTTCGTTGGCGGATGCTGCTGCAAGGGAGAAATTCGTGATTTCCGGATAGATAGATAGATAGATAGATAGATAGATAGATAGATAGATAGGATAGATAGATAGATAGATAGATAGATAGATAGAGAGAGAGAGAGAGAGAGGGATTGCGACGGATAGATGCATATACAGAGATGCATCGAGAGAGAGAAGGACAGACAGTAAGAGAGAGAGAGAGAGAGAGAGAGAGAGAGAGAGAGAGAGAGAGAGAGTTTAAGAGAGAGAA